CGACGTCGTAACTCCATCTCGGCCCGGTGGCGCGTCAGCGCCGATGTGGTCGTGGTCGCGCCCTCGCGATCGACGTCGGTCGCGGGCCAGTCGCTCTCGCCGCCTCCGTCCCACTCTGTCTCGGTGCCAGAGGCATAGTCCCGAGGCCCTGCGGCCGACGACGAGCCCGGCTCGCCACCTTCCGGCCGGTCCGACGGCTCTGCCTGCTGATCCTGCCGCGCCCTTTGCTGTTGTTGCTGCTGCTTGTGCCGGTTGGTCGGTCCGCCAATGACGGCTCGCCAGAAGCGCGTGCCCTGGCCTCCCTTCCTCCTTCGCCTCGACTTGCCGAGCCGCTGTCCGCCCCCACCGCCGCCGCTGCCAAAGCGCACCACGGTGGCGTCGCTCTCGTCGCCCGACCTGACGTCGAGGTCGCTCGTCGCAGCCTGCTGCCGCCTCAAGCGCTGGCGGTACTTTTGCCACTGCGGCGGCCGCAGCCGCGCCTGGCCAAACTGGTCGATGAAGTAGTCGTCGTCGTCGGCCGTCTCGCCCTCGTCGCTCCTGCCGCCGTCCCAGGTACCCTTACCGCCGACGCCGCCGATGCCGCCGCCGCTGCTGCCGCCAGCCTCGCCGCCCTCCTCGTCCTCGGTGTCGTCGGCGTCGACATCGCCCTCGAGCACGGCGTCGGCAATGTTGCTCGTCACCCAGCGCGCCACAATGTCGCTCAGCGCCGTCGTGGTGCCAATGACGGCCCACGCGCCCAGCGGCTGCCGGATGCCAAAGACGTGCACGGTGATGCGCACCAGCGGCCAGCAGATGGCCTGCAGCGCCAGCAGCCGGATCAGCGAGGGCAGCACCGAGTAGTAGAGCAGCCAGCGACGCAGCAGCAGCGTCGTAAACGACAGCGCATAGTAGGCCGTAAAGACGCTCCACAGGCTCGACACGGCAAAGTCGAGCGCCCCCGGCTGGCGCACCGCGGCGCCGACGGCAGCGTAGCTGCTGTACAGCCGGTCGTCCTGGGTGGCAAGCAGGTAGGCGTTCCTCGCCAGCCAAAAGGTGCCCAGGCAGCCCGGCACCACGGCCAGCCACCGCAGCGGATGCAGCAGGACCCGCAGCACCAGCGGGATCTCTTCCTCGTCGTCGGCAGAGACGGCGTAAGCCTGCTGCGAGTGTCGCACTCGGCCAGGGGCGAGGGCATCGAAGCCCCCGTCCGCCTCGGCCAGGCCGGCGAGCTCGCGCGACAGCTGCTCAAAGTCGGACGGAGTCGGCGAGAGGCTGCGCTGGTCCAGGGCGCCGGCGTCGTCGCCATCGGGCTCCGAGCGCGGCGCCATGTCGGGATCGCTGGTGCCGGCATCGGAACGACGCGCATCGCGGCTCGAGGCCCCTGCTGCGCTCGAGGCATCCGAGTCTACCGTCGGCAGACCTGGCCGAATGTGGAACTGTTGTTGTTGCTGCTGCGGCCAGATCGAAGCTTCGACGCTAGGCCGACCTTGAAGATGGAGCGAAGATCGCCTCGAGTGGCCGCTGGACCGTGTGCCGCTGCGTCGGCCCGCGGTTCCAGCCGGTGCATAGCTGAACGCGCCCCCAGCAGCCGGCGCCTCGCCCTGCTGCGCCGGCTCGCTCTGAGCCGAGCATTGCTGCCGTGCCATTCTTGAAACGACGCCGGAGCTCGATCGAGGACGTGGCAGCGTGGGACTCGACGCGACTGCAGCGGCGGGAGCAGCGGCAACGGCAGCCTCGCCGCCGCGAGACCTGCCTGCCTCGTTAGACGCCGCACTGCGTCGCTCGCTCCTCCTCTCGCGCGAGATCGAGGGTGAAAACGAGAGCCCGTCGCGATCGCCGCCCTGGCCGTCGTCGTCGTCGCTGCTGCTTGCGGCAAAGATTGCATCCGGGCTCAACTCGCCCGAGCGGGCGCCGAAGCCGTGCGCCTGGTCCGCCGCTGTCTGCGCCAGCCCAAGCCCTCGCGGCAAGGGCGAGATGCTCGACAGTCCGCGGAGGCCGCCGTGGAACGAGGCCGAAGGCGACGCGGGTACGCTGCGGTGCTCGCCCGCCGGACTCAACGCAGAGATGCCCGGCGAAAGCGCGTTCCTCGAATGTCGCCTAGGTGGCCTTTGCTGCGGGATCGGGATGGCGATGGGGGGCGGCAGGGGAGGGTCCGGCGAGCCGGGAAAGCCCGACGACGACGACGCCGCAGCCGCAGCCGAGGATGCGGCCATCGCAGAAGCCGGCCGTTGCGGCGCCGCGGGTGCGCCGGTGATGGGTGCGGGTGCGCCGGTGATGGGTGCGGGTGCGCCAGCGAAGCTCCGCTGCAGCTCCTGCTCGGTTTCGGAGGCGCGAGGCGCATAAGGCGGTGGCGGCGCGTCGCCCTCGTCCATGCCAGCACCCGCGGAAGCCGCGGCATCGACCATCTCGGTGTCAAAGTGGGGCAGGTGCGGTGTGCTGCGGCTGGCGAAGAGCTGGTGCAGACCGATGAGCTGGGCGGCACGCTGCGCCATCTCAGCGGCAGCGACGGCGGCGGGGTCCATAGGGCCCATGTGCGGACTGGGACCGGCCGACAGCGGCGGGAAGTAGGACGGCGAGGAGAGCGCTGCGTGGCTATGGAGGTGGTGGTACTGGCCGTGGTGCGAGTGGATGCTGGCGGCCGACGAGGAGAGGAGCGGGTCGATGAACCCGGAGCCGTGCCGCGACAGGACGGGTGAGGCCGGCAGCGACCCTTGCATGCCATAGGCCCAGTCGATTGGCGTGAGGGAGCCGTCGGGCAGGCGCGCATAGGCGCCCGGGCTGGTAGGCGCATGTCCGAGCGCTGCATTCGCCGACAGCAGAGGCGACGAGGGTGTTGTGCGCGAGTAAGGGGCGTAAGATCTGTCGGCCGTCATCGAGAGGCTCGACAGCGCGGGGAGATGGGGGCTCGACCGGTTGCGCGATGTTTCGAGGTCGTGGGTCTCGCTGGCGCCGCTGCCGCTCGTCGCTGTGCTGGTACTCCTCCGGCCCGGACCGGGTCGCCGCTGCGATTGGCTTGCCTCGCCGCTCGAGGGAGGGGCCGCATCGTGGCCGCGCGAGTGCGGTCTTGCCGGACGGGAGCGAGTCGGCGCAGGGCGCCCGTTGGAAGTGGAGGCGCGAGAAGGGTCGTGGTGGTGATGGTGGTGGTGAGAGGCCGGGTCGATCGCGTCGGCGGCGGGTATCGAGGCCGACGAGGATGCACGCGAACGGTGCACTCGACGCCGGTTGCTGCCGTTGGCAAGGTGGGAATGGGTAGCTGCCGCTGCCGCTGCCGCTGTCGCTGTCGAGCTGGAGGCCTCGCTGGCCCGGTCGCTCCTGGGCCCGCCGTACCAGGCCTCTTCAGCTGACGCGCCATCCTGCTGCTGCTGCTGCCTCTCGAGGCTGTCGCAGCCGTGGGGCGAAGGAGGTCGACTGGGCGGCGTGCCGGCGGGAGTGAATCCGGCGCCGGCCTGGGTAGACCAGGAGCGAGCCCTGTCGCGTCGGAGGATGCTGGCCACGCTGCTGGGATCACTGTGGGTGTCTTGGATGCCCTGCGACGCGGTGCGGCGCTGCTGGCTTGCGGTCGGGGCCGGTGCGGTGGAGGAGGCGTGGGATGAAGAGGTCGGCGCTGCGCGGGCAGAGTCATCTGCTGGTGGACGGAGGACGGTCGAAGACATAGAGAGAGGCGCAGACGTCAGAGGACCGCGACCGAGACGGTGGGAATGGGTACCGTACTCACCACGCTCGAAGGCAGGGGGCTTGGACGTCGACGTGCCGAGGCGCGAGTGCAAGGGCGAAAGCGAGTCGGACGCCAGGGCGGGAAAGGTATGAGCGCTGGCCCATTGGCGCGAGGTCGGGTCGATGTCGATGTCGATGTCGATGTCGAGTGCTGCGGAGGCGGCTGCCGACGAAGGTGGTGTTGGCGGGTTGGGAGAGGGCAGTATGGCCGGGGGGACGGAAGCGTCCGGAGTCATTGGATCGGGAGCGCCGCCATTGGGCCGTCTGTCGGTCGGTCGAGTGTCGCTGCTTGTGCTCTCAGAGGGGATCTCGTGTGGGCCGCAAAGCAGGATTCCAAGGCCGGATGCAGGGGTCCAATGGTGTGTGGTTCCTGCCTCGCCGTGTTTATATCCAGCAGAGGGAAGGCGGGCCAAGTCGAGTGTCGAGTCGAGGGCGACGGCAACCACCGTGGTGGATCTAGCTGCGGGCCGAAGAAGGGTTCGAGATAACGGGCCGGCGTTGTCCGTTGGCCGTGAGGGTCGTCGCTGTCGTCCGCGCGGGGTATCTTTGCAGGCAGGCAGTCAGAAGTGCGGGCGGGCGTGCGATAAGGCCGGCAGCTCAATCCGGGTCGGGGCGTCGAGAGGTCGTAGGTCGAAGTCGAGGAGGGAGAGGGAGAGGGAAGAAAGCAAAGCCAAAACCTTGATTTCGATGCGCCCGCCTGGCCTGGCCTGGCCGTGCGTCGCTCCCCGCGCCTGCTGGCCTGGCGCCTTTTCGAGCTTCGTCTCGCTTGGCCGCGGCGGGTGTGGAGAAAAAAGCAAGCAGGGTAGCCTCGCCTCGCCTCGCCTCGCCTGGCTACGCCCACCGCCGGTCCAGGCCAGGCTGTGTTGGTCTCGGACAGCACCGCCGCCTCGCCTTACCTTGTGCGCGCAGTGATTCGGCCTGGCTCTCAAGCCAGCACACAGCCACGACACGCCCTCGATACAGCCTCGACACGAGCAACAACGACGACGATGGGGCCAACAACAGCGTGCCGGCCCGGTCGAGGGTCCACCCAGCGAGCAAGAGAGAGTCCATCTATCATTATCGGTCGGGCTTTGGGTACGGCTGCGGCGCTGGCCGTCTCTCTAGCGACGACGGGGGCAAGAGCACCGCGGGCAGCAGCGCGTGCGGCCGTCACATTCCACCCGGCCCCTCTTGCCCGCTCCGGGTGCAGTCTATGGTTGATGTGGTCGGTGGTAAGCTCCCTGGCCAATCGCACTGGGTCGCGTGACCCTCTTGCCGTCGTTTTGCAGCACTCGAGGGCTTTCCAGGCGACGGAGCCGACGTCGTCGTGGCCCCCCCTTGCCGCAGCGTCTACTTGGCCGACGAGGCCGCCGGGGGCCTGCCAAAGTCCTCGTGCATCTCGAGCAGCAGCTGGAGCGCGCGCCTGGCGTGCGTCCTCGACGGGTCCTCGCCGGGCACGCCGTCGCGCAGCGTGTCGGGCAGCGCGTCCTTGTCCTCAAACGGATACGGCAGCAGCGCCTGCAGGTACTCGTACGCCACCAGCGTGGCGCCAAACTGCGGGCTCGACCGCAGCACCCGCGCCAGGCTCCCCTTGAAAAACGCCTTGGGCCCCTCGTCCTTGAGCACCTTGGCAAAGCAGTCGGTGATGCCCTTGTACGTCGCCTGCCCCTTTCTCGCCTCGACCTGCAGCCGCGTCTTGATCACGTCGGCCGGCGTCGTCAGAAACGCCGCGGGCATGCCCGCGATGGCCGCAGACGCCAGCGTCTCGCCAAACGACAGCTTCTTGCCGTTGCGGCCCTCGCCAAACGTGTCCTTCTTGAGGTGGGCGTAGGCGGGGAAGTAGATGGCGCTGAACGGGATATCGCGCAGCAGGCACGCCGTGGCGCCCTTGTACAGGCCCACCAGGCCCAGCTGGCGCACAATGTGGACCGCGCCGCGCGCCACCCGGTCGCCGCCCTCGGCCTTGGCAATCTCGCCCGCCACCTGCAGCCGGATCTTGACAATCTCGAGCGGGTTGGTGAAGACGACCTGGCAGCCGCCGGCGGTGCCACCGGCCACGAGCTCCCACGGCAGCGTGATGCTGCCCGTGATCGGATCCCGCGCCTTGCCGCGCACCAGGTCGTTGACCGTCAGCTTGATGGCCTTTTCCGGCGCCACGCCCAGCAGCTGCGGGCCCAGGCCAGAGTAGAAGCCCAGGAAGCCCTCGTTGCGGAACACCTTTTTGACGCAGTCGATCGAGTTTTTGTACATGAGCGGCTCACCGACGACCGACGACCTGCGCGCAGGGCGGGCAGCGAGGCGGGGGCGAGGCACAGGGAAGCGGGTCAGCGCGGGTGCCGGCGTGTGGTTTCGACGAGCTCTCGTCTTCGAGGGCGCCGGCGCCGCCCACTCACCTCTGGTTCTGCATGCGGGTCTTGACCAGGTCGATGGGGTAGACGAGCGTGGCGCCCGTGGCGCCGGCGATGCCGCCGAGGCCAAAGTTGTAGGCCGACTTGGCCACCTCGGTCAGGGCGCTCTTGACGGGCTTTTCGCGCTTCTCGTGCTGGATCTCGGCGAGCTTCTCGTGGGCCTCCTGCTCGGGCGTCTTGCCGGGCAGCGGGTGCGGGTCGAGGTCGTCGGAGATGAAGAGCTCGTGGCAGATGAGGTTCTCTGCATCGGTGGCGCCGCGCACCGTCGACGTCTTGTACGAGAGCATGCCCGGGGCCGACTGCGACACCTCGGCCCGGAAGCGCTCCAGGTGGCTCTGGAACTGTTGCGCGGCATCGGGACGCGAGTAGACCTGGGGTGCGGCGGGCGGGCGAACGGCGGCAGCGGCAGCGGCAGCGGCAGCGCAGCGGCAGCGCAGCGGCAGCGGCAGCGGCAGCGGCAGCGGCGAGACGAGACGAGACGAGGACGACGGGTCAGCCACGGAGCGGTCCGGCGAGCAACAGCGCCAGCAAGCGCGCGCGCCAGACTAGGCTCACCTTTGCATTGACGACAAACTTGCCCTCGCCGGGGAGATGCGGGACGATGTAGTAGCCGTGGCCGCTGAGCTGCTGGGGCGACGCGGACTTGGAGGGTTCGGCCTGCGCCTCTTCGCAGTGGACCTTGCGCACCAGCGGCGGGAAGAAATGCGACATGTTGAGGGAGGTGGCCAAGCGAGCGCCGGGTGTGTGCGGGTGTCGAGGTAGATCCAAGGTCGTCTGTTGCAGTAGTGCCGTCGGGCGGGGTTGTTGTGTTGCGTCGCGGGTGCAGTCGACCGTAGGACAGAGGGGGGGGGCAGCGGCGAAGAGCAGACGGGCAGACGGGCAGACGGGCAGACGGACTGGAAGCAATCGAGACCGGAGCCCAGGTAAACACGAACAGCAGGAAGAGGAGCGGTGTCGTATAACTTACGTATAATA